CACCTGGCAGGTGGGTGCCATAATTTTCTTGGATCTTTTTGGTTTACAGCTCAAAAACATAAATCAAAATTCTGTTATCTCTTGAAAGATTTCCCTTTTTCATTATTATAAACATCCCTCAAAGACAGAAAAGCGCCTGCAGCTTTTCCATCTCTGTTCACTTTCTTGATTGATTCATTGACTTTTCTTTTTGTTCCTCAAACACAGAACCGTTAGCGAGTGAGCAAAATTGCCTGCAAGGATTTACGGCCTCATTTAGATGAATGTGTTAAGAGAGTCAATTTACATTTTAAATGGAAACATTACCTTTCCTTTCACAGGACCAACCGACTGTTTATGAGTCCCTGTAAACACAGACAACCTTAAAGACGTCACCACGGTGTCAGTTTTACTCCTGCCGGCCCACCTCTCTGCTTCGGCACTGGTTTGGCCTGCTGCAAGCGTCTAACTATGTTTAAACTAAGCGGGAGACAAAAGCTTGAATCATGCTGAGGGAATCCAAAAGTGTCACCAAGCATTTTGACTCACTGAGGTTTATAATAGTAAGCCAAACAAATATGAAAAAGTAAAAATAGATGATGTGATAATTTTGAATGATCCTGATCTGTTGGATTTTTATTTATTTATTTATTTTTAGATACATTTAGGAGATGAAAGGATTTAAAGGACACAGAAAGATTCAACAGTGGTCCTCTGGCCTGAGTCCAGGGACCAGAGGCATAAACCTCTGCAGTAAAACAGTGAGTCACAATCATAAAGCTGTAGGACGTCGTTAATAATCACAATCCATTAACTGTATATAAAAGATGGAAAGAGCCGCCATTGTGAAGATTTGAGCCGAACATTTTCAACAACAGCATCATCTGAGGTGAATCTTCATGAGCCAGCGAGCATGGCCTGATTTATTCTCCTCTTGTAATTATAATAATTTACAAATTTAACTTCATGTTCTTTTTATCAAAACTTTATTTATTTGTTGGGCTTAATCATTACTTTTAATATACAAGTGTTGAGAGAGATCACAGAGTGAGGGAGCTGAGGGTTGACCTCGAAACAACTGACAGTTGTTATGTTGCCCCCTGCTGGCCATAAAAAGAATGTAAGTTTTACATCCCGTCTCGCGCATGTGCACAAGCTGGATTTGTACGTCTGTCTTCATCCATGAAAGGATGCAAAAATCCTCATTTTTTTAGCATTTGCATAGAAAATCTTTTGTGCCTCACATGTTGAGACACAGAAATGAAAAGAACTATTTTTGTTGTCAGAGAAGTGTTGAAAAGGAAAAAGGATTTTAAATGAACTCAACTTTATAAGATCAGAGGAGAGGGCGCTACAGAGGTTAAAAACAAGCAGAAATCTACGTGGTGGCAAAAACTCAAGTTCCTCCAGTGGCCACTTGAGGCCGGCTGCAAAACGGAGTCAGTCTCCCTGTGATAAACTACCCAACATCAAAGTGTTCAAATCTTTATTTACAGCCTGAAATTAAACTCAGTGTTGGGCTCAATGGATAGTTTCCCCCCTTCATGGTAACTCTGAGCTGGTTGAATTTGTTTACGTCCGTCTGCATGCTGGAGTCAGGGGCATGGCCACATTGATAGACAGGTGTCCCTGACAGGTGACGGGGAGCTAGAGCCAATCACTGTGTGCTCTCAACTGCGTTTGAAAGCATTTTAATGGATTATCTGACTAATATCATGGCTGTGTGGAGCGGGCCATACAGGTAATTTGTGCTTTTGGTGAGTCAAAGTCTGCTCTTTTATTAGTAGCTTCAAAATGTGGCGTCTAAAACCGGTGGGCGATGTTGATCTTGCATAAACCATTAGATTAAATCCAAAGAGGAAGAGCGTGCATACGGCCAATCACACCCTGCTGCAGCTGGCCATTTTTAACCACCGCTGAAACTGGACAGTTAAAGTATTTTTCATCTCTTTGTCACTCACTATAAAAACTGTGTGTGAAAGATCTGAAGCACGGGTGTCAAACATAAGACCCGTGGGCCAGAATCGGCTCGGCAAAGACTCCAGTCCAGCCCGCTGGACCGCTTTGGAAAATTATGAGGAAGGCTGAATTTTGGTCTTTTTTGCTTGTATTTCAGTTTTACAGCTTTCCCTGCTGATAAAGAAGTCCTCATACTGCACCACAGTGATCAAGTAAGAGATAAACAATTACGTTTTTCTCTAATTTGACACATTTATTTATTTCTTGTTTGAATCATGCTGACACATTTCTCTTATTTTTGACAGCAGCATTTCTTTCTCATGTAGAAAAATTGAAAACACTGTTAAAAATTATTTTGTTCTTATTTTAAGGCGTCTCAGTTAAAAGTGTAGTTAAACTTTGTTACACTGACAGAGATCACAGTGAGCTGTGTGTGTTAAATGAGCTTCACATCTCTAGTTTCAGGTATGTGGCAGTTAATGAGAGGAACAAGGCGACGTGTCTCTAGAGCACGTCAGGAACATCCAGCAGAATCTTACTGGCTGAATTCTGAAGGTGATTTCAGCTCTGTTAGCTCAGTGGTGGATGCCTCCGCCCAGCGTCAGCTATCCTCCACCTCACTGCATGCCCGGTTGGATAAATAGTGCGTTTAAAATTGCTGATGAAAATCTCAGATCTGCTCTCAACTGCTGTGATGAAACACCCACACCAGGTGTAAGAATAAACAAACACTTGATAACATTTGGAACTGCATAATTGTCTCTCTTTGAATGAGGTATTTATAGGGTTAATAAAGGCTTTATAACAGAGTAAGGTTCTGCTGAAGTCCTTCCATCCATTTTCTTTACTGCTCATCCATTGTGAAGTTGTGACGGAGGGACTGGAGCCTATTTCACATGTCACAGGATGAGAGACTACAGCACCTCAGTCTATTTGAGGACTAACCGAGAGAAACACACCTATGATCAAATGTCTGTCCAGCACATGTTCGACTAATAATTGTATCCAACAGTCAGCTGTTTTATAAGAGAAACAACAAACAGGGATGGAGCGATTCTGGCTGATATTTAGATTTTATTTTCCTTTCATCCACTATTTCTGCCAAAGAAATAATAAAAGTCTACATTAAAATAATAATAATATTAATAATAATCACTGAACCGTTTGAAGGGTTTAGGCTCGTTATTGCATCATTGTTCAGCATCTAGCACAAAACTGATGCAACCCAACAGATCAACACTGGCTGCTGCCATCAGTACAGACTGACTGATATCAGCCGATGCAGACGTTCATCCAATATAAATGCAAAGAAACGAACTCATAAAACGAAGCAGTTAAAGCTGCAATCAGCATCATTTCTGCACACTGACGGGAAAAAAAAGTTCCTTATTGCACCTTTAAAGGTGCTGCTGCTTCCATCTAAAGTGCTGCTGTTATTCTCCATCCTTCTGCACCTGTTTTAAACCACTGGTGACATTTTTTACTTTAATGCAACTATAGAAAAATTCACTTTTTGTTTTTCAAGCGTAATATTGTTTACAAGGTATCCATTTATTTATTCATGCATTTTGAAACAGGCATTCAGATAGTGGTTTTATTATAATAATAATGGATTGCATTTATATAGCGCTTTTCAAGGCACCCAAAGCGCTTTACAAT